AAATTTATTCTCTAGAAAATTTAATTTAGTTTGGATGGAGGACTGTGATTTTTCTTTGGAAAATCGTTCATTATTCATTGCTGGTCCCCTTTATTTCGTCCAAAAAGAGAAGAGTTTGTATAAATTCCTCTTTGGATTAAAATCTTGGATCTACCATTGATATGTTGGACACCTCAGGGGATTTCATAGATTGCAAGTCTGGTAGGTGTACAAATTGCTATAGATTCTCTTACAGCAAAATAATCGAGGCTTACTTTTGCTTGGATGTGTGTTTTGGTTAATAAAGATTCCCAACTTCCAGAGGAAATAAAAGTTTCTGTTGCGGTTACTATTATTTTTTTAAAAGTTGTTTATGATTGAAAATCTAAGTCTTGCTTGGGTTGTGCAGGTTCTATTGTTCATCCTTCAAATTTATGTCCCACAAATCCTCAATCTAAAACGATTTTAAAAGAAACTCAAAGAGTATGAAGTAGGAGTCGGATGGTTTGGAAAGATTCTTCTAAACATTTGCAGCCTTCTCAGCCTTCTTCTAAACCTACTAGCACTTCTTCTAAGCCCTCTGGTTCTTCTGTTCCTCATGATAATTCTAATAATTCTTTGACACCTTCATCTTTTGAGCCTAATGTTGCAAATGTTACTGTAGTTCAGCCTGATTCTCTGGCGCCTAAAGCGTTAGATGTCTCAATCTTTGGTGTTAAGATTGACATTCCTAACTTAAATTCTCTTTTAAAGGATTTGTCTTCATATTCCATATTTATTCCTTCTCCAAGAAAAGTTTCTATTGAAACTAGTATAAATAATAAATTTTAGGTCTTGCAATCTATAGATTTAGATTCCCTAAAGAAGTCACAGGAAGAAACTCTTCTTGATTCTAATATGCCTTCGAGCTTACCTCATGGTAAAATTCCTGAACAACCTAGTACCCAATTACCATTGGTTTCGGGTAAGGTCACAAGAGCACAAAAAGCCAGGAAGATATCCCATTCTTCAAGTAAGTTTTAATGTCTTTTCCTAATATTATTTTACTGGAATATTAGAGGTTTTAACAGCTTGGATAAGGCCTCTGCTTGTAATGATCTTGTTCGTCTAATGCGCATTTTCTTTGTATACTTCAATCTGAAATTAATTATATCATCGTGGAGGACCCTTGGTTTGTGAAGAAACATAGGGTGTTTCATCAAGAAGCTAGTTATAATAACTTTAGTTTTTATGATCCTGGTAGGATTTGGTGAAAATGGAATACTTCTTGTGTTTCTTTTAAACCTATTTTTTCTAGTAGTCAAATTATTCATCTCTTTATTGGTTGGATTCATGTAACCGACCCCACGTAGGGACAAAGGCTTGATTTTGTTGTTGTTGTTGTTTATTGGTTGGATCTTCTTCTAATATTAAATTATATGATTTTAATAATTTTATTTTTAATATTGGTGTTCAAGATCTTTCTTTGGTTGGTTTTTTTTTTATACTTGGTTAATCAAAGAGTGGTGGCCTATTCATATTAAAAACTTGATAACATCTTGTTGAATGATTATTAGTTGGAATCTTTTCCATCTTTTTATTGTGTGGACAAACCCAGGTGTTCTGATCACTCACCTCTTCTTCTTAGATATAATCTTGTGACTAGCCATAATAATAGATTTCATTTCAAAACATTATGCTGTAAGAAACATGAATTACATGAATTTTGAGATTTACTTATTAATGCTTTTTCCTCTGCTCCTATGGGGAGTCCCATCAATGATTTATATTCAAGGCTTCGTAACCTTAGATTTGTATTAAGAAATAGCCTTGGGTTTCCTCTAAGATGGTTTCTTATGATATTAAGGCCCAGAAAAAGCAATGTTTACTATTGGAAAGAATTCAGAGTTTTCCTCTTGATCCTAAAAGCTTAATGCTTCTTTAAAAGAGGTAAATTATCTTCATAGTCATAATTTGTCTTTATGGTCTTCTTAGATTATTCAGAGAGCTAAGGCTTGATGGCTTTCATTTGGAGAAGAGGATTTGGGTTTTATTTATTCTAAAATTCATTGTATGAACTATGAATAATAAGAGTTGTATTAAAGTTATTAAAACCTCTGATGGGATCTTTCTGATGCTTCATGCATTTCGGATGCTTTTGTTCGGCATTAAAAAAAAAAACTTAATTCCCCTAAACCTGCACTTGCTATGTCTAATTTTATCCCTGTAGGTAAAACTATTCCTGTTGCTCTTTTACCTTTCTTACGGCTGCTAATTCTTTTGATGAGATTAGAAATGTTGTTTTTTTCTACTCCTAATTCCTTTACCAATGAATTTTTTAAAAACTCTTGGGAGAATGCGGGCTCTTCTTTTTGCAAGATTATCTTACATTTTTTCTTTATTGGTTTCATTCCTAAGGCTACTAAAGCTTCGGCTATTCCTCTAATTCCTAGGAATATTCATTTCTCTTTTATTTCTGATTATAAGCCTATTTAATTATGTAATATTTTTTGTAAAACTATTGCAAAATGGTTGGCTAATCATATGCAACATATTATGCCCTTTATCATTCACCCAAATCAAGCAGGGTTTATTAAGAAGAGGATTTCGTTTAATAATATCTTACTTGCTTCTAAAATATTAAGGAAATTTAATAATAAAGTCAAGGCTAAGTATTTTTGTGTGAAGCTTGATATTCAAAAAGCTTTCGATACTATCTCTAAATATTTTCTTCTTTATAGGATGGCCCAAAAAGAAATTTCAAATATTTTTATTAATTGGATTAACGATTATATTGAAGATATTTTCTTCTCTGTGGTTATTAATGGTACTATAAAGAGGTTTTTAACCTTCTCTAGTAGGCTTCAACAAGGTTGTCCTCTTTCTCATTTTTTTGCATTGTTAAGGACGTTAAATCTGTGAATTTTGAGGGTAAGAATGCTGGTGAGAATTCTATTTCTCAACTCCTATATGCAGATGAAGACCTTGTTTTTGGTAAGACTTCCATTCTTAATGCTGAGAAACTTAAAGATATTTTGGATTATTTTTCTCTCTGCTCAGACCTTTTTGTTAATCATAGTAAAAGTATGGCTATTTTTTTTCGAAGAGTATAATGTGGCCGATAATATTTGCCAAATTCTGCATATTAGTATGGCTTAGAACAATTTGAAATATCATGGTTTGCATATTTGTAGTAAAAGGTTTATAATCTCTGATTTTCAACCTCTTCTTGATAAAATTACTAATCTTCTTGCTGGTTTAAAAGTTATATTCTTATCTTTTGTTGTTAGATTGCAGTATCTTAAATTTATTATTAGTAACTCTATTTCTTAGAGGTCTTCTTCATCCCAAATAATGTTCTAAATTCATTAGGAAGATTTGCTCTAATTCTTTATTTCATGGTAATATTTTTGTTAGGACTTGGAAAGATGTTTGTAGGCCTAATATTTTTAGGAATTTGGGCATATCGAATCTCTTTGCTTGGGTGATTTCTAAATATTTTTCTCTATGGAAGTCCCCTACGCTTAATGCTTCTGTTTGTTGTAAATAATTCATTTGCTCTATAGCAAGAAGTATTAAAAGTAAACTTTATTTTATTATCAATCCTAACAATTCCCTCTCTGCTTGGGATCCTTGGTATGGAGGTAAAGCTCTTCAAGAGATGATTGATCTTATCTCTTATTCTCTCCAATCTACTATTGTTAAAACTTTGATTATCTCGGATGGTTGGCAATTGCCAGACTTCTTTGAGTTAATTATTTCTTCGGTCATTTCAAATATTCCTATTTCTAATCAGATGCATACTTGTGTCTCTTGGGGAGGGGTGAATCTTCTTCCTTTTAAAATGTTTCAAGCTACTTTTTATGATGGTTTATCTGATGAATAGAATTATTTTATATGGCATGAATGGCTTGCAATGAGATTTTCTTATTTTACTTGAATGACTGTGCTAAAATGATTTAAAAACTACTGACATTCTTTACAAAGGAAATTTAAATATACCTCAAACTTGAATTTTAAGTGCTAAAGCTGAGGAAAATCATAATCATCTCTTCTTTGAGTGTGATTATTCTTTCGTTATAATTTCTAGGTTGATATCAAGTGTAAATCATTTTATGCTTAGACCTAACCTTCTTCAAGTTTTTTATTTTATTATGAATTCTGATATAGAGAAGGTACCTAGGAATTTATTTTTTCTGATCACTTGCTGCTCTATCTATTTCTTATGGAGAGAACCGAACAATAGAAGATTTGTTGGGAATCATAAATGTGTGGCAACAATTGGTCGGTTGATTAAGAATGCTTTTCTTGCAAAGATTGTTTCTTGGAAATCGTTTCATACCATCAAGCATTTGGTCATATAGCATGCTTTGCTATTATTGGTTTTTACATGAGATTTTGTTGTTGTCTTTTTATAGGTCTTTCTGTTTGATCAGTTGGACTGTGCTGGGCTAGAGTTTTTCTTTTGACAATATGATTTTTTGTTACTTTTAGTTTGGATACAGAAGTTCTGGCATGTCTTCTTCTTTTTGGATGGCTTAAAAAGACGTTTCTTAAGTTTTGGCTGGTTATCGGGACTATAATGATCTGCTTTTACTTGATTCTTACATTGGAACGTTTGCTTGGCAACCAATTCTTAAAATTGGAACGTCAGCATCCAAGGGATTTGTCTATGTTAATCAAATTTGTAGTTTTCTATAAAAGAAGGGCTACCAGCTTTTATTTTGGGTAGTTGTTTTTATAAAATTATGCCCTTTTCTTTGGATTATCTCTGAGGCTTTGGATGGGTTTTTAAACCATTCTGAGTCCCAAAGGTGTTTTTCACTTTCTTAGAATGTTTTTTAGATGTTTTTAAGCTTTAATGCTTAGTTTCTTTTCTGGAATTGTATGTTTTTTCTTACTTTTCCTTATTGTAACCTATTCATTGTTTGCATGAAATTAGACATGGTTGCCCCTAATTCTCCTCACCACGCCCCCACCCCAACCCACTCAAAAAAAAAAAAAAAAAAAAAAAAAAAAAAAAAAAAAAAAAAAACCTATCATTAGCAAGAAAAGAAAACATAAGCTTCATTTTCTTTGATAAAATGTTGAATAAGCCTCTTCCCACAAACATAGAACTTTGTCTACATGTCATAAGACATACTTGTATATTGCTTCGGCAACACCATCTTCATCATTGGTCAGCCCAATCACATCAGCCGCAGCTTTAGCCTTATCTGATCCATTCGCTAGTGCAATTCCTAATGATGCCATCTTTAGCATCTCAACGTCATTTTCTCCATCGCCAATAGCCACGACCTGTTAAAAGGCGTTTTTTTCTTCAGTATTTACAACCCTTTTAAATTATAAAAATAAGTTAAAGCAAAGCTCTATTGTCCTCAGGACATCCCTTCTATCCCATAACTAAATGTTCTAGACAAAATAGTAAAAGCCTAATGGAGCAACAACTCAGCAAAATAAGGATCATAGTTCAAAAGCAATAGTACAAATAAAAGAAGCGTCAAATCTGTCTCAAGTTCACCGATAACAACATACAGGAAACTATTTTCTACACTAATGAAATTAGATAACATTATAACAAAGCTACTTTTCAGCTATCGTAAAACTAACTTATTTTTCACACTTCGTGCACTAAACACCATAAAACTGCTTTTACTATTCAAGAAAAAACAAGCAAAAGAATGCTAAATCAAGTGAAGCCTAAAATAGATTTGAGATAGATTTATATTAATCACTTGGCAAGTATGTTTATACTTTATTTAAGAAAAAATAGAGCATCTCATAACTTATAAGAATAAACATAAAAATTTTAAATTGACTATTTACTTATAAGAAAATAATCGTTTAAATTACAATGATGGTAAAATCATTCTGAGTGAGAGTTTGTGTTCCAAGCATCACTTAGATCATGGAATAATACTATGGAAAATGAAGCTTAAGTGAATACATGGACTATAATTTTAGTATTAATTGATCTCGTAGTACGATTGTGACAATGGGTGATTGAGTCGTTAAAAAGAGTACACGCTTTGGATATCTTGATCTACTGTTCAAAACGATGGTGAAATAAATAGGGATATCATTAGTATAATTCAACTTGGATGGTTGAAGTGAACTAATGCATTAGGTCTATTATATGATAAGAAAGTACCCCTCAAATTTCAGGAAAAATTTTATAAGATTGTAGTGAGATCTATAATGCTTTATGGCATAGAATGTTTGGCCAATAAAACAGAAGCATAAAATTAAGTTAAAAGATGTAGCTATGAGGATATTCAGGTGGATGAGTGGATTTTTACACTTGGAGATAGAATGTGAAAAAAGTATATGCAATAAAAGGTTGAAGTAGCTCTAGTTATAAAAAGCATCGACCTTTTAATGACCATGTTAAGAGAGTAGACAAATTATATCTCATCTATGTTAAGAAAGAAAGAGGTAAACCAAAAAAGTTGATTATAAAGTATTAAAAATGATCTTTTTTATTAGATTTAAATAAGAAATTGATTCTTAATATGATACAATGGAGAAAACTGATTCATGTAGTTGAACCCGCATAGTGGGATAAAGGCTAGTTGTTGTTATAGTACATGGCAAGCATGCAACATTCACTTTTTAATTAAGAACACATTCCATTGTAAAATTACGGATTCAAACCAATTAATATGAATGTAAAGTTTACAAAACAGTTGGTTTTACACTTTGACTAACCTCCGTCAACCACAACATTCCAAAACCACTGTAATATATTCCATAAACAGGAGGCAGATAAACTAGATAACAGGAAAGTGAAAAAAATGAAGGATACCTCTTTCTCCGAAACACCAAGGTGATCCAGCAGCAACTTTACCCCATTGCCTTTTGATGCCCCTAAGGGAATAATTTCTAGCATATCAGGAACGGCCTGGACAACAGTAGCCTGTCCTCTTGTTGCTGCTGACCAGTATGGCCTTAATGTGGAAGAAATTCCCTCAGCTGTGTCAAGGAAAAGAAGCTTCTACACGTAGAAATGACATTCAAGATAATGAGACTCATCAAAAGTATCACAAATTCTCTATATGGATAGCCAAAGGTCTTAGTGTAATAGCTTTCCTAGCCAACAAAATTAAAGTGCTTAAACACAGATTTCTACTGTGCCTGGTTTGGAGGAATTAGGTGGAAATGAAATATTGTTTATATCATAGTTCTTTGCTTTGAATTTGTAATTCATAACAAATTGATTTTATCAAAAAATACAAATAGAAATATGCATATTTTCTTTGCATAAATATTTCTCTAATTATACCAAGTCAAAAGTGAAAAAAAAAAAAAAAACTAAGGGATTGTTTGGTTGTTAACAATTAGACTATACGTAAAATAAAAATAAAATTAGACACTACATTTATTTTAATCATCAAGTAAATTAAATGTATTTGGAATACTTACAGAGTTAATTTAATTAGTTGTAAAATAAATGGATATTATATTTTTATGTTTAGTTGCAACTATTTAGCATTCACTGTTTTTATGACTTCCATTTCAATATTTTCTTTAAAAAAAAAAAAAACAAGGGCACGTGGCAAGCGGGAAATCACCATAGATTGGGGGTATGAAGAGAATATGAGAGCTAATGAGCGAGCGGCCATTACAAAAGGCAAGCAAGCAAGCTGCAAGCGACCGGTGAGAAAATGTTGAGCTGACGGCGAGCAACAAACGAGCAGAGGTTACATGGCATGAAATGGCTTCTCATGATCGTTTTGCAACATGGTGTATTCCTAATTTGTCCGACTTGATAGAACTTTAAATACATCAAAAATATATTAAATAGGGGATTCCAAGTTCCACAACATATGACTTTTCCAACTAAACACACAAAATGTCAAAACTACTGCAATTGATTTACTCTACATTACTATCACTACCCCTAACAATAACATTAGATTGAATTTATTCTGTCATTTATTTGTTATATTTCAAACACGAAAAGAGAAAAAACCTATCCAATTTATTTTCGACTAACCAAAAAAGAAGTTGAAATGTAATTCCTGTGTCACTTTTATTTTCATATACTTTTCATTTCCTCTCTTCAATATCTTCAAACCAAACAGGCAATAAAATATTCAAGAAAATAGACCAAGTGATAAACTTCTTTTAGTTCTCAAAAATTATTTTCACAATTATAATTTTCATGCATATATGCATGTAGCTACATCTATTAGATGCACAAATATATAAGTGAAGGCACAACGTTGTTTAAATGTGATTATACTCAAATATCATGTAGAATCAGTTCATGTCAAGTCAGACTCAATTTAGTGGTTCAGGCAAGTCACTTGAATCGAATGAACAAATCTATTGAACTCAACAATATTACAAGTAAACTCGCAAAGGTCCCGATGAACTCATAAGAATTATTGTTAAAAAACCAAATTCATAGAGAAATCACCTACAATCTAAGTCATGAAAATCAATTCAAACATCATTGGCCTAAGAACTTACTAGGCTTGGCCGTTGAAGTACTCATATTTTTCTAGAGCAACTCATCTTAAATAGTTAACATAATAAGTTCAAGCACTGAAGCAACTTATTACTACTCCTCAGAGTTAAGAGAAATCAACAATCGACTTCTTATGGATTAGGCTTCTAGAAAGTTATCAATGTATTCTTTATGTATTTTAAGGTAAACACCTAATATATTTCACAATAAAAAATTGGGACGCCTTGCTAACTTTTTAACATATACACATATTAACATTTATTGTAGCATTGAACCTAGGCATAAGCCTATAAGAAGGGGGTTAAGAGGAAGAGCCAAGACACCAATCATTTGTACTCAAAGTCATACACATTCCATGATCTAGTGAAATACCAAAGCTTCTCACTCTAAATTATCTCGCTCTAGTTGTTAAATTTTTCTCTTGTAATTGTTATTAGAAAGGTTTTGGTGTTATCCATAGACAAATTTAGATCTAACATCCTCAAAAGTGCAATGGGCATGAACTGATGACATAAACCATAAATCAAGCATATAAAGCATTGAAGAAACTAAATACATTGAACTCAGTTAACATGAAGAATCAAGTTTTGTCACCAACAAGTACCTAATTGAAATAGAAGAAAGATTTATGATTTATGATTCAAGATGTATTGACACGTGTTCCTAAAGCCACTCTAAGACTTAAAATTCATGAAGGATCTTTAGACTCGATTATTCATGAGTAACCTTTAGGTTTAAGAGCAGTGGCGGAACCATTTGTTTGTTAGGGGGGCAATTGCCCCCCCACCCCCCTGGTGCTCAAAAAACCCTTAAAAATTCTCTGGTGCTCAAAAACCCTTAAAAATTCTCAAGCATCGTTGAAGATAAGGTAAGAATAAGGCAAGTCCCTAAGAAATTTCAGTTCATAGTGACACTTCAAAGAGAAATGGAGGTAAAATTTTTTAAGCCATATGAGGCTCAAGTTGTAATCACTCAAGGTCCGAGGAAAGGACATTTAACATATGCCCTCGGCTTGCAACAAAGTTTTTTGTTGAGAGGCTTGAACTCGCTAGCAGACATATCAATGCCAAATTATGTCATGAGGAGTATGTTTCTTCAGCCTCTTATAAGCCAAATGACTTTCATTTGATAGGGAATTTTTGACGATTTTTCAAGAACAATAAAGGTTGCATATGAAACTTAAAAATAGACTGAAAAAAATATTTCAGAATCAGCAATGATAGGATCACCGGTAACCATAGTGTCATTCTGATGGGTGAGAAAGAAATGCAAATCATTTTGAAACTAGTAGAAGGATGAGATTGCCAACAACTCACAAATATCCAACCATTACTCCACTGAGAGTATCAACGGTTCAAACAGTACAAGTCATTTGAGATAAAGACAACTTCAAGCGATCCGCAACAATTAAAGTTGGGGCTCATAAAAAAGACCGCTCAAAGTACTATGTTTTCCACAAAGATTATACGGATAACATGGACATTTGTCTACATCTTCATAACATGGTTGAGAAGCTGATAAAGGCTGGAAGTCTAAAGGAGTTCAATTTAGCTAATCCAGGAAGAAGAAATGGCAAGACACCCATCAAAGAGCTGTAAAATGAACTAATCCCAGCCTATGCAATTCAAATAAATGGGAAGGTTCCATCCATCCATGGAGTGGGAGAAAAAGCATACAAGAATGCTCGTTTCAAATGACTTTGGTAGGGAGATGTGTACCCAGCCAATTGTCAAGAGCTTCACATATAAAAGTTACGCCCATCATATTTATTAAGACAGGCCAATTAATGAAAATCCATACAAGGATATAGTAGTTGTTAGTCTTGATTTTCTACTACCATATCATTAGCATTTTAATCGACATGGGAAATTTTATAAAATCATCTTCATAAGTATCTTAGAAAAGATGAATCTAATTTTTTTCTCATTTGACACTCAGCGTTGGGCCTCTTTTTCATTCATTCATTTTTTTTTTATCAATCAATAAATTTCCTCCCACCTCTATACATAAAACAAGCGCATTGAATTTGAAATTCTAGTGTTTGGCTAGAAGAAAAGCAAATACAACGTAATTTATTGGAATATTTGAAATTTCTTGTCAAATTCATTTTCAATATATTTGGAATTCACACTATTTATACAATTTCCAAACATATCGCTAATTTGAAGCTTTGTCCTATGCCACCCACCTCTATCACCACCACTACAAGCCATCACCACCTTTGTGGATCATCGTCGCCACAATCATTTTCCGCCGGCCACTTCCACTATTGTCGATCGCTGCTCACTACGTTGGTCTCTTACCACTGCTGATGTCACCAACCGCCACCTACAACCTCAAGTCAACAATCATCATCAGCCGCCATCTGCGATATCCACTACCAACTGTCGCCACCACCTCAGTAAGTCACCACCAAGCCATTGTCTACTAGCCACTAACACCCATCACCACTTCCATTAGTCAGTGCCATATTTCAAATATTGCTTTTACTTTGCAAAGAACCAAACAAAATTATTGAACTCCTATAGTTCTTTTACAAACAATTAAGCACTTCAAAATATTTCAAACACATGATTTTACTTCACATTATATTTTGAATATATTGAACTTTCAATTATTTGCAACCAAATGGTGTCTAAGTGATCAAAGGATAATTTATGTATTTAAGCAATGCAGCTGATGTATTATATAGCAAGAAATTATGCAACATAAATATGTACTTTTTTACTTGTATAACTTAAATATAATCATTCCCATAACATTGAATCTTGGCCAACGCTTATAAATAGGGGATCAAAGGCCACGAGAACATAGGATATCAAATCATTTGTACTAAAACTGTCATATTCTCAGCAACCTAGTGAAATCCTAAAGCTTATCACTAAAAATTATCTCCCTTTGTCTTTGTCTTATTATTTTTATTACTAAGATTTTAATGTAATTTACATGGTAATACCCAGAAAATACAGGTAATAGTTAATTAAATAATTTTTCAAATTTCTGTTATAGAAACGATATAACTATTATATTAATTATGTTAATTACTCCTTAAATTCCAAAAGACGTTTTCTATGGCTGTCTTTGGGTGGCGGTTGCCTAGTGGGGCCACTCTATCCTTATCTATATGGGATTACACGCAAGAAACAAACCAATTCTTCATTCTCTATTTTGTTTACGGAAGCATCAGACGGAACCTGTAAGGAGTCTCGTTTCCAAGCAGTCGGCACAGTGTTCCTTCAGTGTTATTGGGTTCGGATAGTGAAGCATTAGCTACAGCAAAAAACAGGGATAACAATTCCTGCTAAGCATTCGGCTGAGTGTGTTCGGTGGGATTGGAAAGAAAACTACAGTTTTATAGCAAAGATCAGTTGAAGGGCTATAGGGAAATTCTATGGTAACTACATGTAAGTAATGATCAGTGTTTTTTTTTTAATGAATTGTAGTGGTGTGAGTGTGAAAAATAGTTGAAAGATTAGTGACTTTGTGTGGTATTTTGAAGAAGTGGGAAAGAAAGAGTAGAA